CTCTCTCGTTTTCTCTCTCTCTCTCTCTTTCTCTCTCTCTCTCTCTCTCTCTCTCTCTCTCTTTCTCTCTTTCTCTCTATCTATCTATCTATCTCTATTTCTCTCTCTCTTTACCTTTCTCTCTCTCTCTCTCTCTCTCTCTCTCTCTCTCTCTCTCTCTCTCTCTCTCTCTCTCTCTCTCTCTCCCTCTCTCTCTCTCTCTCTCTCTCTCTGCCCATTCATAAACTCAGCTTCATTCATACTGAAAAGGCCGCAGCGTACGTTCAATTCTGAGCGTCGGTTTCATTGATAAATTTCTTCCTTCGCTTTTGCCACGAGATAATTCATGGAAGAACGTGTTTGTATATTTTTCTGTTGGTATTAATGTATCTCGAAGCAATAGATGTTTGTTTTTGTATTAACGTTTGTAGAAGGAATACGTGTTTGATCTAGATATTAACGGCGTGGACGTTTGTTTTCAGTACCTACGTTTTCGATGGAATAAACGTTTGCTCCTGATATCAGCGTTTCTCAGATATAGACGTTTGCTTTTAATACTAACGTTTTACGAAGGAATAAACGTTTGCTAATGATATCAACGTTTCTCAAAGGCAGAAACGATTGCTCTTAGTATCAATGTTTTCGAAGGGATAAACGTTTGCTCCTGATATCAACGTTTCTCAGACAGAGAAACGTTGATATCAACGTTTATGAAGGAATAAATGTTTGCTCCTGACTTAAACGTTTCGCAAAGGAATAGATGTATACTCTTAATACCGACGTTCTTGCAGGAAAAAAAACATGATTGCAACGTTTCTCAAAGCAACAGACATGATTTTGATATCAATGTTTTTTTCAAAAATAGCGTTTAATTACTGCTTTATAAGACAATAACGCCGAGTCTATAACAAAAATTAGCTTAAATATCTTTTCTGTTGTGCTTTAGACAAGTGAAGAATAAAAAAGAGATTGTACAGCAAAATTATGCACTGCAAATATAATGGTTTATAGGTACCTTATTCGCTTTCTTAGTAATAAACTAATGATAATCATTTCAATTTTTTTAGATGCAAACAGGAAAAAAAATCGTTATCTTTACCCATACGTATGATAATTATTAATCTAAAACTTCACATCAAAGGTCTGTATAATGATAAAAATTCTTTTAAAAACTTTCATCACATTTGGCATAAAGATCGATGCATTTCTGCAACGCGATTTTCCAAGTCTCTCTTATTTTCCTCACTTTACTCTCCTTTCTTAATGCTCTTTACTTCACTCACTCTTTCTCCTCATTTACTTTCCTCTCTTTCTCTCCTCTATTTTTACTCTCGCTTGCTACTCTCTATTTTCTTTACTCTTTGGACATTTTATTCTCATTTTTTTTTAATTCTCATTCTTTATTCTCACATTTTTTTCTACACTTTCTAGACTCTCAGTTATTTCTCTTACGTCTTTTCCTCATTTCTTATCCTCATTTTTATTCCTCTCCTCGTATCCTCTTCATTTTCCTCACTTTTTTTTTTTTGAATTTTACTCTCATTAGCTACCCTCACTCACTGTCTACTTTCAATTCTTTTTAATTTTTAATTAAATGGAAATATATGTCTTTAGGAGATAATTTCTGTATATCTATGACACTTTGTAATGGAATATAAACAGCTAACGGTAAAATGCAAGATGATTATCGATATTATGTATCTATCTTTTCTTACTTTTGTTAATCAATGTATATATATATATATATATATATATATATATATATATATATATATATATATTTACTATTTTTTTTTTGCTTTTTGTCTTTCGCGAATATTAAATGTAAAGTGACAGACGCTACTTTTTTGTATTCATATAAAATTATTTACCTTTTTTATTTATATCTTGGTTTAAAACGAATATAACGAGTGATATATGTAATACGAGGCATTTTACTGTTTACTCAACTATTTGAAAACAAGGCATATAATTTTTTTGGAAATACTCATGAGACTGACGTAAGAGAGAGGATACTTTATAGAAAACGGGTTGGGGGGTGACTGATATAATCATACCGAACACATATGTATCAACAGATAATCCATGGAATTATTGTGTTATTCTTATTAAACAATATTCTTTTTAACTAGATGATGTCACGCCCCTTTTTTTTATCCTCCTGACGTCACCCTGAGGAAGGTCAACGCCCCCTCTTTGGGAAAACACTGATCTAAATGGTATACATATGTATACTTAACCTGGTTAGATAAAGTAATACGTAATAGGTAACAAGTAAGGTTATTTATGTATGCACAACGTGATTAGATGAAGTAATACATGTATCATTAAGACTTTTGCGAAACTGAATCCACGTTAATGAATCAGTTTCAAATGGTGACACATTTTTTTTTTTTTTTTATGTTTACTGTGTATGTGTACCTTCTATATTTTTCTTCATTTGGTCTATGTAAACATCTCATTACTGTAACTTCTTTGCTGTAATGTAAGGTATATGTAGATTATCATTTTCGTAGGTTAT